ATAACACAATATATCCGTCGTAAACTAAACTGGAAACAGCAGTATATTTTATTGTGTTAACTTGACAGCTTTTTAACCCGAACCACCTACTGGTTAAAGCACGTTATTACATGTTTAGAGTAATTGCAATGCAGGTAGATTGTGTTGCTTTTTAATGACTGTTTTTAAATGCCTTTTTCTTAATGTCTTTCATTTTTGTAAAGCACTTTGAATTGCCTTGTGTTGAAAGGTGCTGTATAAATAAACTTGCCTTGCCTAAGGTGTGCTGCATGTTTTGTTGAATGTGTTATATTTGATGAAAACATTTAAATATTAAGAGTACATAGGGGGAACGTAGAAGGTCAATGATAGAAATATAGAATAGAAAATATCAAGAAGATACTGTAAATGATCTCTACAATAAAACAATTTAGTGCCGGATGTACAAAGATATTAATAGGAGGATGTGCAAAACAGAAAAACTAATTAGGCTTTATTAAAACATGAAATATTACTTTAGGTTAAGGCAGTGGCTCTCAAACCTTTTCTGTCAGGCCCCCCCTTTGGAGAGAAAAAAAAGTCGGGCCCCCCCAACACAAATAGTCAGTCTCAGTGGCGGCGCCAGAGATTTATTTTGGGGGTGCTGTGGGGTAAATTGACGTTTCATAGAGGGTGCTCAAACATTTAGGGTTTCCCATTAATGTACTGGTCGCTACAGTGGAATGTTCTACTGCAACACTCCCCACGCATATACACAGCGTGACAGTTACAATGAAGGCTCGAGGCATATAGGTGTAAGCAGGGGTAAAGTGCTATTTTTATAGGTGGTGTGTGGACCTCACATAGGGGGGTCCGGGGGCATGCTCCCCCGGGAAGATTTATTTTTAAATATTGAAGTTAAAAGCATCAATCTGGTGCACTTTGAGAGCAAAATGAAGAGATCTATGGATACATCTCTCAACACCCATATAAAACAGAACTGTAAACAGATTGACTTTTTCTTTATGGATATTTTACAAATCACCCTTTTAAACTTTATTCTTTTTTTACTGTCATATAGTATTTCATACCTGTTTTTCATGTATTCTCTTATTTTTTTATAACTATAATGATCATATAAACGTGTGCCTCGGAAATAATTGTTTACATTAATGGTGACCAAAACGTTTGAGACCCACTAAGATAACTTAGACTAAAGTTAACTATCTAAACACTGAGATAGTCCTTTAGCTCACTGAGCCTCTCAGTCTGACAGGAGAGGACTCGCCTCCACTTTGTTGTTGAAAAAACTCCTTATATCTGTTAGCGTAGCTCGCTAGCACCAGAAGCTAACAACAACGATCTCCGGTACCGGTGCGCTCTCTCTCTCTCGCTCGCGCACGCACACAAAATGGCTCGTTCCACACACACACACAGAGCCGAGCTTTAATGAAACACAGAGACCCAGACGTACTTGTACTGTACTGTAGCATATTATTTTCCAATCAATAATTTTTTGAGAACCACTGGGTTAAGGTCTTCTTTTAAATACATGTAAGCAAAAAGCTTTGGGGGTATCTACAGATAAATATTAAGCCTGACAAAGTACTTAACGTCTAATATATTGCATGGTTTGTTTTGGGACTTGACAATCAACTTTCCTGCAATGTTAACTATGGGTTATTTTAACCGATATTATACATATTAATTATACTCTTATAAGATGTATGTAGATAGTATAAGAAATGCAGAATATGATAGTTTAATGGTGGAGGTATACACACATATTGATAGATGTCTTGTAATGCACTGTTGACGAACCTGCGACCCAAGTCTTTCATTCATTGCATAACTACACCGTAGTTGTGTATATGATATGTCAATAAACCTTTGAAAATCTTGAAATCTTGAAAGGGATGTGCAAAATAGCCATTATATACAGTTTTTAATGAACGATTAGAGAATAACGAGTAATGAATATGCTTTATAGGGATCTGCAGATAAATATTTAGTCTTCTCAAGCACCAACTATCAAATATCTCTCCTGATTGTTTGCACTTGACAATCACCTTCCCTGAATTTGACTCAGGTGTAACTAAAGTCTGATTTAAGGGTTGTTCATATTTCACATCATTAATCCAAATCTGCAAAGTAACTAAAATAAATGTAGTGGAGTAAAAATACCAGGTTAACCTTAAAGAAAGCCCTCAGGATTATAAAAGACCCCCATCACCAACTGTTCTGTCTGCTGCCGTCTAGCAGGCGGTACCGCAGCATCCGGACTAAAACCACCAGACTCAGGGACAGTTTCATCCCACAGGCCAGAAGACTATTAAACACCTGAACTGTTGAAACAACATCCACAACATTAATCTGGCTGCAATTTACAAATTATTTATCTAATATATCATATTCCAATCACTTGTATATAGACACCAACGTGTTTCCCATCCCCTAAACCTCCAGGGATGTATACAGTTTAATACTGGCAACTTCTAATTATGGGAAATACGAAAACGTCTTTTAAAACTACAATTCCCAGTAGAGACGTGCCATAGAACATGTTTCGAAACACAATTAGCCAGCATGTGTACTTCTGGGGGGGGACACACGTTCGACTAATCACAGGGTTTGTCAAGCAAAGCGGCTGGTGTAGTCCTAAACGATAGCTGAGGATTATGGGTAGTGTACACTAGTGTAGTGTCTTCGGCCATCCTAAACTCCCAAAAAACAATTTGTTTCTCCGAATCGAAGGGGAAAAACACAAAAGCATTGTACACAATTTAAACCAATCAATGTTGTGTAATTAACAAGGATAATCTGCTGTTTTTGAGTTGATGAGTAGTGCAGATATCACTGTGAAATCAATCGACATTAAGGAGAATACTTACATCCGGGTTTAAAATTCTCCGTTATCCAATGGGAATGGACGCTCACATTGCCTTTAACTGCCGCCGACATGGACCGATGCGGTGCTTCCCTGAGCGTCAAATACCGCCGCCGATGGGAATACATTGCAATCAATTGAAAGCTCTTTGCGTCCGTTTATGAAGCTGAAGGAGAGTCGGTGCGTCACAACTGCACGCCACGGGACCCTGACCAAGCGTCGCTATTGGACTATCAGGGAGTGAGACTGTGTTGGCCAGACATGTGGAGACATGCCCGGGCCCTAAGAAGCCTTGTGGTATGCAGAGCTAGCTTACACATGCTTGATGATGCTAACTGCCTTCTGTTGCGCAGATAGTGCTGTGTTTTGGGAGGTAAACACAACTACAATTTGAATGTGTAAAACGTACATTTTCACGAACGCACACATGTCCGCAACAAACAAAACAAGCCAAAGACAGTCAGTAGTTCAGATAATGCGATCCTGCCTGTACTGTGGTCAGGTGTGCCATGGGTGAGTCCATTAATAAAGGGAGATGATATGGAATAGTTCAAGTAGCTTAGGACATTTTTGTTTAAATACAATTAAAATGTTTGAGTTTCATTAAATTGATTACATTGAAATAACCTAACCTTGAGGATATAGCAGTACTTGATAGCTAACTTAGTCATGCAAAGAAGAAGTCATTGCTACATCATGAACACACATTATACCAGTAGGACAGTATACATGTATTAATAGTGTATTATTTTCTAATAGATTCTAAGCCAGTTAGCAGCAGTGCCTAGCATAGCTGGAATACCTTGAAATATACTCAAATTTACAAATAGTGTTTACATGCTTTTCTTCCACAATTGCTTGATTTCCCAGGCCAATGCGTCAAAAGACTGAATGACTACTTGTAATACATCTTTTGCCAAGGAAAGGTATTTACATAATTAATGAGATTTATAGTCAGCGCTAATGAGCTTTATTTTCATTGCAGAGCTGATATATGCCAGCTTCAATCTAAATGATGGATGTTATAAAAACAGAAATCTTAAACATCCAAACAGCAGAAGCTACTGTAGCCAAAAATAATGTGGTGTTACACAGCAGGGTGTCTGAAGCGGCTTCTGGCTTCATCTGTCTTTATTATTTATTATTATTAAAGGAAACTACATTCCAGATAGGGGCCATGATGACGGTACACCTACGTAATTGCGTTTTTCTTAACCCTTAGGGAGCATTTTAAACCTGGAAGGAATCATATCCAAGTCATAAAAATAGCTCACTCTGCTTTGAGGAACCTTCATGGGCATTTCAGACTGAAATGACAGTAGAACCTTCTCATATAAACTCGGGACAATGTCCAGGGAATCTGGTCTGGTAATTTTCCAGAGTTTCCCTTTCATAAATAGTACATAACAGAAGACTGTCTGTGTCATATTTTAATTTGTTCTCACTTTCTCGAAACATTCCATTTGGTTTAATCTTCAGGTGGTGCCTGGGTAGAGCGAAAAGAAGCGAAAAGAAGGCACCTTTCTCCTGCCTAATTCCAGCCCCAGTCACTGTAAATTCTCTGGACAATATCAGCTCTATTCACACAGGAGATAACACAAATGTTGTACTAGCAAGATGAAGGGGTAATGTCAAATGATTGTCCAAATGATTCGGGCATTTGCATTCTCACATGCAACTATACCAGATACTGTTAAGATAATTTCAAGTTGGAGTGACTGTTTGTCAGGATCTAGACAAAAGCATATGTTGTATTAACCCAAAATGTTGTAAAAAAAAAACTTGTCTTGTAACAAGATCTCAAATTCTGCCTATGGAGAAGAGCCACAATGAAACAATAACTTCCTTCAAAATAACTTTCATTATTTTTACATTATATTTAATTCAATTTTTTTAATTGTTTTAAAATTAGTTCTATACTGTACATTCCTTATTTGATTACCTTATTTCTCTTAAATTACTTTTTTATCTGTAATCTTACTTGTCAATTAACCTGATTCTGAATAATAATATAATTATTACTGGTAAAACCAAATGGGAATGGTAGTTTTTAAACTACTACTTCTTTACTAGGTGATATTCAGGTCATATCAGGGAAGGTAACTTTCTGTTGTATCAAATCTTGCTGACATCACCATGGTAACTCCTTCTGTAGGTGTGGCCTGCTGCAGGTTGGAGACCGCCTCCTGTCAATTAACGGGATCCCCACAGAGGACGGAACACTAGAAGAGGCCAATCAGCTTCTCCGAGACGCGGCACTGACCAATAAGGTCTCCTTGGATATTGAGTTCGATGTAGCAGGTTTGTGAAGTCATCCCCAGTTTTATGATTCCATTACACCAAGATATATTTCCTCTTTACTAGATGTATTGTTACGTTTACAGTGTCACTTTATTTAAGCTCGAGTCAACTTTGGATTATTGTCAAACATCCAACATCCTTAAAACTATTGGGATTCTTTGTCCATCTACAAGGGTTTAAACCATTTTTGTATAGGGAAATTAGAGAGCAAATGTTATACACTGCTTTCTTTTTTAGCAAGCATTTAGCAGTTTTGTTGGAGGATGTTTAAATAGACAAATTTGCACAGATCACTGGTCTCCTTTGCTGAGAGCTTTGTGGACAGATTGTAATTACAGCTCTTCACTGCAGGGCTCAGCCTTATCTGCATGCTTTTAACCCGATGAAAGTGAAACAACCACACATACACTTCAGCTGTGTCATTAACTCGGATTTCATTTTGAAAAAAAGTCATTCAATTGCATTGCAGGCGTTTCTGAACTCACAGACAAAGAGTCGATCAATCCAAGTTTTTGAAAGGGGATTTTGATAGCAAATATTTACTTACAACAAGTATTTTATAAGTAGGATCTGTAGGGAAAATGAATCTGCGGCTTTTCCACAACTTGGCTTGACCTTCTTGTTTTGATAAGTAGCATTTAAAGGTGACCTGTGGAATTTAGCATTATCCCCCAAGATGCATCATGTATATCCTTGAGCATTATTTATATGCATGTTTACTTGCGTCAAGTCTGCTTTTTTGCTGTTTTATTCTGTCATATTGCAGCAAGTCAGAAGGTGTCGCCAGCACCTGTAGATCAGTGGAATAGATACCATTGGCACGGCGTGTATCACTTTACCCACCTTAGCATGCATGCATGTGTGATTGCATTAGATAAAACAAAACGTTGACCCATTCAGAGAAACTGCTCAACAAACTGGACCCAATTTAAATTAACAGAAGATATTAGGAAGGCCCACAGCATAAACATGGCCCTATAGAATGAAGCATGTGCATGAGAAAAAATGTCATAAACAGTTTTCACAATACATATCAGAAAATAAAACTCATCCATCCTTTAGATTACTCTAATTTTACTCATTTTAAATGTTTATTCAGGAATATGTCTCTTATGTACGGAGCCCCTAAGGGGACATGAAAAAAGAGAGAGAGAAAAAAAGTTGAGAACGTTACCGGTGCGCCATGGAGGAAGTGGAGCACACAGGAGACAACCATTTAATTGCAGACTGTTATGTTTATGAGGGGAAATGACAGTGCATACATTATTTGAGATATATTTCGAACTCAGACTTAATTTTAAGGACACAAAAGTTACCGGTACGAGAAAATAACCCGTTATCCCAACTTGTTTTTTCTCTCTCTCTTTTAAAAAAAAAATGTCCATGTCCCTTTTAGGGACTCCGTACTTATGGTATGCTTCAGCACACACTTTCATTTATATATTTTTTTAAGGTTATTTTAAGGGGCCCTATTATACTTTTTGAGGTTATCCCTTTCCTGGTCTGCAACAATAAAATCCCTGTGTTCCCTTCAGAGGGAGTTTCACTCCCACACAAACATGTAACAGTAGAGGCACAACATAAAAATATGAACCTGAAAGGAGCATAATTAGTCCTCTTTAAAACATGAGGATGAGCTGTTATTTTTGAGTCGCTGAGTAGCTCTATGACATTATACATATTTTTCTGCTGTTTTGGCAACATTTGTTGTAATGAGTAAACATAACCAATGAGTAATTAATAAATGAACATTTATCCTGTCAGTGAATGATAAGAGCTTCTTGGCAAGGTTACATGAAGCTGAAGTGACTCAATGGCTTGGTTAAAACAGTCTAAGTGTTGGCCTATAACTGGTGATGTTTGTGCCTGGATGTAGAGTTGTTTTACTGCTGGAATTAGCATTTTGACTCATGCTTGCAAACAGTGAGGATTTGGAGTCTCTGTTTGCCCCAAAGGAGAGCAATTCAGAGGAGATAAGAGCAAGAGCTAAAAGCCTTGTAATTACAAATGTTAAGCGGGTTGAAAAGACTTATTTGTTGCTTCTTTATTATAATGGCTTTTCTGCATGTGTTTGTATTTCAGAGTCGGTGGTGCCTAGCAGTGGTACATTCCACGTCAAACTGCCGAAGAAAAGAGGAGTGGAGCTGGGGCTCACCATCAGTGGTGGGCACACGCACGCACGCACGCACGCACGCACGCACGCACGCACGCACGCACGCACGCACGCACGCACGCACGCACGCACACACGCACACACACACACACACACACACACACACACACACACACACACACACAGGGCCACACACAAAGTCTGTGGTTTTTTCTGATGGCACATCACAAAAAATACTAGCTCTATACCATATGGCCAACATTTTGTCATCACATTGTACTTTTTAGATTTTTTGGTCTGTTTGTAATGGTGTCCGACAGGTAATAACGCGCTAAAACAGCAGATAACACTACCATTAAGAGTAACGTGCTGCAGTTTAAAATGCGAATATATAAACACAAATGTGCCACAACACATGCATCTTGAAAACACATGTGCAGCATCTGGAAAACACCAACCAACCGGGGCGCTTGTTGACGTTCGGGGATTATCAAGTTGGTCAATTGTCACTGTTGGCAGAGTTAGCCTGATTCATAATTGTAAGTGTTTCTGTCAGTATAGTTGAAATGACCAAGTTAGCTACATTATCCAGCTAGCTTACAGCAGATCTGCAAAGATATTGGAAGGAATCATGTGATCACATTGTCAAAATAAGTCAATAAAACGTATATTTTATGTTTGTTTACAGTGACAGTGATTGTTGGCAAACTTTATAATCCCCAAACGTCAACAAGCGCTCCGGTCCCAGCTGTGTGCGTCACTTTTTAGTGTCCCCATTCCCATTTAGTTTTGAGCTTGCGGCAGCGTTGTTTTTTTTGCAGCATTTCATTTATGCAGCGCTTTCAGTAAAAACTGTGCATGTTTCGTCAAGTTGGTAAGTGTTTTTTAAATGCTGCTCATGTTTCGTCAAGTTTCTAAAGATGTTTCTTCATTTGCATGTGTTTATGAAACTTTTCTCCTTCGCACATTTGCAGCTGTCGGCCACCATAGTTTTTCAAGGTTTAATACAGGCCACTCGTAATGCTTCTGAATAAGAATGACTCTTCAAAACAGAACTTTGCTGCAACAGTTCTCCCTGTTATCTACATATACGCAGAGAGAGAGGTCTGTATAAATAGTGTTCCCAGTTTGGAGTGGAAGAATTTGACTGGTCTGCACAGAGCTCTGACCTTAATCCCATCACGAGTCAGGTCTTATCACCAGACTTCACTAAAGCCCGTCTGAAAGTTAGCAAATCCCTGTGGCCGGGGTCCAAAGTCTTTCAAGGACTCTTCCCAGAAAAGTGGAGGCAGCAGAGCAGGACGTTAACACCCATATTTCTGTAATGTGTGGGGCATCAATATGCCTTTACCCTTGTTGTGTTTCGAACCGACATGTTATTTGGATGCAGTTACCAACCAACACAGATGTGTACACTCAATTCAATGTGTCTGAAACTCTTTTTATGTTCTGCTAGTGAGGGACTTTATTATAATTAGTGATGAAGTCATTACTCAAACACTTCACTGTGAAGCTTTAGGCCTGATCTCCTACAGTGTTAATGCTAATCATTAGTCTCTGGAATGTGTGTTTATTTAAGTCTGCCAACATAAACTGTTATGTTTGAAGTAGCATGAACTGAGTGGCAGGTAAACTGTTGAACTCTGCACTTTTGTAAATATTTGGAGAAAAAATATATATAAATACATGTGCAAGTATTTTTTTTAAATGTGTAGAATGTATCAACAGAAAACGATACAAAATATTCCTCTGACTGATCCGTTTTTTATTTATTAACCATCTGTAATGAAATACTGTGTTTCGAGTAAAGCGTAAAATAAAAGTACAAAAGTATTAGAGTTTAAATACAGTATATAGTACCACAGGTATAATTACTTATACCTGTAGCACAACCCATTTCAGACTAAAGATATATATTATAGTATTTCTTTGTAATTAGTGTTAAGCTGACAGAATAATGTGCTTCCGTAAAAAGTCGAAATGTTTGCTTTAAAGATGTAGAATTGTAAAGTACAAGTAACTCAGACTTATTCTTCAGCGTAAATGTGCAAATGAAGGAGAAAACGGCATCAGAATATGGTTATGTTCTGTATGCATCAAAATAAAAATGACGTTGGTGAATGAGGTTTGATTGGAGTCCGACACCTTTGCAGTTTCACTTCATAATGTACAAATATCCGGCTGTGCTGTGGCTGCCTCTGAGACAGAGAACGGTGCAATACTGCCATCTTCTGAAATAAAGTGTTCACAGCTGACATGAGAAGGATCTTACACACACATTAACTCATTTTACACATTTTACACCCAATTTAAACAATTTGTATCCTAAAAAAGAAAAATGTATATAACCTGACAATACCAATCCTATCGAAACAATTTCAGCCTTCCTCAGTGTCAGAGTGCAACTGAAGAGTTTGACATTTTGAAAAGTTTAGATTATATTTAATTAACATTATTTTTGTCCATCCTTTACTGAATAAAAGTATCAATACAATCTCAAAATACTCTTATGAAAATAAAAGTCTTACATACAAAATCTCACAGAAGTAATATTAGCAAATTGTACTTAAGGTATCAAATGTAAAAGAACTGCAGGAAAAAGAGGCTCCATATGGGATGTATAAATGTATCAATGACACAGACGGTTAATAGCGTTGTACCAAGTAGACAAACACAGTTGTGATGGACACATTACTGATGTTGAGGACTTTCTCTATAGGATTTGACCTATTTGTACCACCAATATTTCACTGTTTCATCTTTAGAATTATAATTTGGTTTAAAGTTTAGCAGTATGTTACTTTTAAATGCAGTGGTAGCATTACATTGAAATACTCAAGTAAAGTACAAGTATTTCAAGATTGTATATAAATACAGTCCTTGAGTAAATGTATTTAGTTAAATTCCATCGCTGCATATTTGACAGAAATGTTATAAACACTTTCTTATGTTGTTTTTGTCTCCACAGTCAGTAAGAAGCAAGGAGAGCCCCTCATCATCTCTGACATCAAGAAGGGCAGCATGGCCCACAGGTATCTGTTATATTATATTATATTATATTTTACAATATAATATTTTATTATATTGTACTATATTAGATTATTTTATATTATATTGTATTATATTAACTGTAATTATTATATTGTATTATTTTATATAGCATTATATTATATTGTATATAATTATATCATATCATAATACATGATGTAACCTTGTATTATATCATATTAAAGTATGTGATAGTATTTATTTTATTTTATTTTATATAACATTATATTTTACATTCTATTCTATTCTATTACATTATTTTATTTTATATTGCATTGTTTTATATCAGATTGTATCCTTTTATATTCTATTATATTACATTCTATTATATTTTATTATGATAAGTTATATCATATTATATGATCTTTTAATTATATTACAATATATGATATGATATTCTTCTGGAGACATCACACCTGTTGTTCTCTTGCCTCAATGTATCTCACTGTCCTTATCACACCTGTACTCTTTTCACAGACATCTGATAGGCTGCTGCAGTTAAAGCATTATGAATGAAACTTTCTGGTTCCACATTTGTCTTCCTGTCTCTGTCTCTCCTCAGAACGGGGACCCTGGAGCCTGGGGACAAGCTGCTGGCCATCGACAACATCCGGCTGGAGAACTGCTCCAAAGACGAGGCGGAGCAGATCCTGCAGCAGTGTGAGGAGCTGGTCAAACTGAAGATACGCAAGGACGAAGACAACTCAGGTACAAAGACGAGGCTGGTCCTGGTGGGTAGCATAACATGAAGGAAGGATCACACACACATTTTCAGATGTGTTTTATTTGATTACAGTTTTTCCCAGTCTTAAAACTCTCCAAAGTGCAATTAACAAACCGATTTGTTGGACAACATTGCTCCTGTAAATGTCCATAAAAGGCAGCTAATCACCCAAAACATTTGATCAATGCTTCAATAGTTATTGTTTCAGTAAATTGGTGGAACAATTGTTGTTGTTGTTATTCTTATTGTCAAGAGGACTAGATGTTTTAGGCTGTTCCAAGTCAATACTGTCCAAACAAGATGGTGGAGTAAGGATTTGCACATTTGTATATTCACAGTATTTCTGGGGCACATGTGTTTTCAAGTGCCAAAACAAAGAACCTAAGCCAAATTGGAAAAGACTGCAGTAGTTTAGTTGTAGTTCTCATCTCTCGTCTCTCCTTTGTTAACTTCCTTTCACTCGTGTCACTCGAGCATTACGTCTGCATCAGACCTCAGCCAGTTTAAAACATTCAATGTCTCAGATATTTATGAGAAATACCTTATGCCTGCTTTTGATTATTGAATGGGCAATATGACATACTATGGCTCAAAGGATGAAAGAATGACAGCAAGCTTTGTACAAGAAGCAGAGGTGGGAAGTAACTAAGTACATTTACTCAAGTAGTGTACTTAAGTACAATTTTGAGATACTTGTACTTGACTTGAGTATTTCAATGTTTTGCTACTTTGTTCTTCTACTCCACTAAAGTTCAGAGGTAAATGATGTACTTTTACTCCATTACAGTACCTTTAGTTACTTTCCAGATGTGGATGAATGATGTGAAATATAATCAAGTGTTAAATAAGACTTTAGTTCCACCTGGAGTAAATTCACAAGCTACTCTGCAGTATACAAAGTCATTCAAACTAGCTGCACCTTTACCAGCTTTGAGAACACTTTCATGATCAATCATTATAAAACATATCATATATTATTCTGAAATGGACCAATCTGCACAATGACTACTTCTACTGTCGCTACTTTAATACTTTTCTACTTTTCCTAGAGTAACATTTTGAATGCAGGACTTTTGACTTGTATCAGAGTATTCCTACACTCTGGTACTTCTACTTTTACTCAAGAACAAGATCTGAGTACTTCTTCCAACTCTGGCAAGAAGTTGACAATTGTCATTGTTTATAAAGATGTTTTAAAACAAACACATCCAAATCTCCCAAAAAATGAATGACACATTTCAAATCTGTCGTGAAATAATTGTTTAAAGATTTTATATGTTTGCTGAAAATAGTTTTAATTCAAGAATTTAGCCGAAGCAAATGACAAAATCATATCGTTTACAAATCATCAGCTCATCAAGTTTAAAGAAAATGCACTGACAGTGTTTGACCACCAGGTGGTGCTGTTGTCCACAACTCAAGCACTCCTGATGTCATTTTTAAATGATCATGTACTGTAGAATTCATCTTTATTCAGTGGGGAAACTTATGTAAAACAATTTAATCCAGGATGAACCAATTAAAATAAAACATTAAGAACACAAACAAATATATATAAGGGATAAAAGTAAGAACGTGTGTAGAAAATTGATATCCTGGTGATCTAATGGTACATTCTAATTCAGCGTAGGACAGTTATGCTTCATCTTAGTCATGTGCGTGTTACTGACCTTACACCCAACCTCTTGAAAACTGTGTTAGCTAAAGGTTTATTTACTCCAGGATGTTACAGAGAGATGTTTTTACATAAAAAAAAAGAACACAAATGAATTCCCAATGGTGAAAAAAATACTCACATCCTTTAAGGTCTTCAAGTAAAAGTATTAATACCACAGTCCTAAAATACTCCATTACAAGTATGAATTCAACATTATACTTAATATAAAGTACAGTATGTTTATTTTTATTTTTTTATAAATGGTAGTCAAGTTCTTGCTCTTTGTTGTATTTGTTGTGTTATCATACAAATATTATATTATTCTGTTTTTAAATACATTTAAGAGTGTTGTTGTGTTTTAATTTGTAAATGTGGTGCACATTTTGTGTACTTTGTGTCCTGTAGTGTAAACACATTATGTAATTTATTTAAAAAGTAACTACAGCCGTAAAGTAATTGTAGTAATATCACAATGTTTCGCAAAGTAGCAACAATTTAAAATAAGTAAAGTACAAGTACCCGGAAATTATACTATACTTGAGTAAATGTACTTAGTGTCATCCCGACACAGTGGACACCGGAAGGGATTGTGTGATCATGCCAGATTATCACTTGGAGGATGGATCACACATAGACACACACACGGACACACACACGGACACACACACGTGTTAAACTGCAGAGATTATGTGTTTCTGCTACATGATGACAAGGCAGTCTTTTCCAGTTACCATGGAAACTGCCTCTTCCTCACCAGTGTTGGTTCGGGAACAGTTTGACCTACTTCTGGAAAGAGAGCATTTGTGTATGCATGCGTGTGTGTGTGTGTGTGTGTGTGTGTGTGTGTGTGTGTGTGTGTGTGTGTGTGTGTGTGTGTGTGTGTGTGTGTGTGTGTGTGTGTGTGTGTGTGTGTGTGTGTGTGTGTGTGTGTGTGTGTCAGGCTGCATCATCTACTCAATGGAGTTGAAACATTATAGAGTAACGTGTGTGTGTGTGTGTGTGTGTGTGTGTGTGTGTGTGTGTGTGTGTGTGTGTGTGTGTGTGTGTGTGTGTGTGTGTGTGTGTGTGTGTGTGTGTGTGTGTGTGTGTGTGTGTGTGTGTCTCAGATGAGCAGGAGACCTCGGGCAGCATCATCTACACAGTGGAGCTGAAGAGGTACGGGGGCCCTCTGGGCATCACCATCTCAGGCACCGAGGAGCCCTTCGACCCCATCACTATATCCGGCCTGACCAAGAGAGGCCTGGCCGAGAGGTACACACACACACACACACACACACACACACACACACACACACACACACACACACACACACACACACACACACACACAATGTCTCCTCTTAGAAATCTAGGTTACCAGTTAGAACTCGTGCACAGCAGTAAAGCAGCTGGAGGTCATTGTTTTGTTCCTACATTTTTCAACATTGCTTCAGTACCACTACATAACAAAAATGAAATTAAAATTAGTGCTACTGAACTATTATAACAACTATATTAAAATGATTTGACATTTAAAAAATGTAAATAAATGACTAAATGAAACAAATACCTTATTTTAACTTCATTTGATTCCAACACTTAGTACGGTAAACACATCTTATCAGGCACCATGTGAAGTCTTACACAACTATTAGTACTATGGAACTATATTTGTATTACTTTTCTTGAACAATAATGCACAATTGGATGTTGTAACAACAAAGGCACGAAAGCAGATTGTATAGACTAATTAAACACAGATGTAAACAAATTACATTTGAATGACTGTTGCTCAATTTTAGAATGAAATAAAATAAAAGATAAATAGAACAAAAATATTCAAATAAAGAAAAAGCTCAATTAACAATGTGCAAAAAAGGAAAGCACAAAATAAAATAAAGATATGTATATAAACAATTGAAGTTAAAGTAAAATGTCTAATAAAATGAATAAAAATATAATAAGTGCAAATTCTGTGTGGCTCATGAAAAGTGTTCACACATATGTCTCCACACATCTGCTGACCCCCAGAAATGAACTGTAGACAGATTAAAGACAGCTTCCTCCATCCTCAGTCAGAATAACAATTATCCGCTTTGGTGTCAAAGGTCCTAACAGTAAAGTTAGGGTCACGACCTTTTGACTCTCAAGCGCGGTTGCTGATTTAGTCAGAATTGTCCCATTTCCATTATCTGCTGTGAACATTTTAATTTGGATCATTCCGGCACTTAAGAAAACTTTAGCCAAGACCTGTGCCGCCTTATTTAGGCTTCATGAAGCAGTGGGGTAAAACCTTATTAGGAGAAATAACAGGAGATGCCTTGGGCAATAAATAGAGGGATTCCCCGGCAGCAGCTGAGTGTGCAGCAGGCTCCACGTGACGAGGCGCTGACGGATGAGATAATGAGGAGCATGATGCAGTGGAGAGGTGGCAGGGCAGCCAGTGTGCACAGCAACAGGCTCAACATGACGTAATGGCTCTGAGTCATAATCATCCACTGGCAAATACAGCTTATATAAACTTCAAAATAAAATGCTTTCATAACAGGCTCACGCTTTATTCCACCAAAACACACCCAAAGAGATCGTTTATTGGAGTTTGTGATGTCATTTTCCTATTTGCTGTCTTCGTCGATGAAACAGACCTGATGGCTAAAAGCACTCTACAAATAGACTCATTTTCACACAGTAAGACTACGTCAACATTTCTGCTTTAAATATTTATATAAAGTTATTGTGTTTATATTTTTATTCAATATGATTTTTCTCTTTTATTTAAAATACAATCATACAGGATTACACAGGATGCAGCTAAAAAATAAAATAAAATATACATTTAAATATAAAACAACACAAAATCATTCAATAAAACGGGGATGTTGCTGATGAGGAAAAGAGAAAAAAATCCCTTTTTATTTAATGTTTTATACATTTTTTATTGGATATTTTACTTTAACTACCATTTACTATTGTTTATACTGTAAAAGTATTTATTTTATTTTTATTTTCAATTTTCTTTGTATCGCACATTTTTTTGGTTTATATGAATATTTTCATTCTATTTTTTTTTTTATTGTATCTTATTTTATTGCATCCTAAAATCAGGGAACTGTCATCAAAACCGATTTCCCCCAAATAAAGTATTCTGTTGCACATGGAACATGTTCGCACTGACCTAGTTTGACTTTTAGCCAATTGTGAGCCTTGGTATTGGTTGACCAGATTAGGTAAATAGAAACTCAAGATATCAAAAGGAAACCTTCACAAAAACGCTTCTCTGGCTTTAACCAGTGCATTAACTGTGTGTTTTAGGCATGTACATGTGATATATTTGTCTATGACCATGGGTGAGATTAGTGATCTAAAGCATTAATATCTGTATCAAAGTAGGCCGCAGGATAAAGGATTGGTTTGCTTTAACTCTGGTTTCATGCGGTGGCCGGCGATAATGGGACTAAAGGTCGACAGAGTCACCTTGCTGTGACCCTTCACTAGTCATGCAGTTGTTAAAGGGCCCATGTCATGGCCATTTCCACTGATCATAATTACATTGTTGAGGTATACTAAAATAGATTTATACTGTGCAATTTTCCAAACTCACATTGGTTTCGCATACAGCATCTCTGTAAAGTATGTGTATTCAGCAGTATTCACTTTCTCCACTAAACGACTCGTTGGAGCTCTTGCCCCCCCCTCCCTGTGAGCCTAGTGTGCTCCGATTGGTCAGCTCGGCCACTCGTTCTGATTAGTCAACCACCAGAGAGGCTGCGCCCATGTCTAACAGTGCTTTTCCCGGCTGCTCTCAGCGTAACATCAGTCTTATCATGGCGTCGGCACAGCCGTATATTTTATATACATATATATTTTTAACTGTTGTTATAGAAGAGTATGACGGCCCCAGGGCCTTTGTCTTACGATGGGGTGGAGCTGAAGAGGCTAATCAGCACGATCACGGACACCTCCGGACACGACGGCCCCAGTCTCTCTCCAAAGCGGCTGCAGGAAGACTAACTCTGCGATCCTCTCAACCACCTATCTCTGCATTTACCACAATAAATGTGCCGTGGTTTTGTAAACTTGTGTATGTCTCCTTGTCTTTCCGTTGTGGCTCATAACAAAGAGTAAGTTATTTTTACCCGTTATAAACTACTACTGTTTGATGAGAAATCAAATCATGGTTTGCTATATATGAATTCAGGGAAGAAAGGATAGGCCTACTAAGTATTTCCATTAAACTTTATTTTTAGAAATGTACAAAATGAACATAAATATACATATATACACACGGTATATCATCCATTCCTCCTCCTCGCATCTTGCCTGCGCACAGTCGGTGCGGTGCCTTTTAGCACGAGGCCTCAGTAGTAGTAGAAGTCATGGATTGTCCGCCAGGATCTGGCTGGACGAAATCAAATGCAAATCACAAAATATTAGAGAAACTTAGTTGTTTTAGATTCGTTAGTAGTAGTTGTGTAATGAACAGCTTGCCTGCTAATATGCTAACCTAGCTTTGTTTACCTTGGTAGCTAACACGATATGAACGTTAGCTTGGAGGAAAGGCAACTATAATGCAGTGTAATAAAACTACTATGAACAAAAGCTAGTGGTTCATATTAGGCTAGCAATAACGTGTTTATAATTGCAATCGTATACGGGTATTCTGCTACCATACAATGTAACTTGCATGAATACATTGTTTTGCGCTAGCATACAGCTAGCCTCGTTAGCTACATGCAGTATATGTACGGTCACAATGTACGGTAAATCACCCGGAGTATACTGTATGAGTATTCCGTGTGTGTGACTGCAGACATTCTCCTGCCATGACAAACATGTAAGGCCATCTGCTGACATTGTAGTTGATATATTTAAACGCTAGCAACGTAGCATCACAAAAATGTTTTTCCAACCAAAACTAGCTCTAGCTCCGTGTGTTAGATCGGTTGCATACACGCTACGCCAGCTATAATGTAATTACGTTTCGCGACTGACCGCACGACAAATCACCCGGAGTATACTGTCAATAGGTATTTTGTGTGTGAATGCAGACATTCTCCTGCTATGAGATACATGTATGCAAGGCCATCTGCTGATATTAGAGTTGATATATGGAAACTCTAGCAAGTTAGTTAGCACAGTTAGCACTGTGTCAATGGCTTAGCAGTCCAACACAGTTTACACATTTAAACAGTCTTGTTTGATAAATACACAAATAACAATGCAAACTTACAGGTTGTATACCCAGATCTTCCCCTGCTCCAAACGGTCCAAACAAGCTGTGCATATCCGGCCTCAAACTGGGCAATGTTTTTGGAAGCTTTCGTCTGTGAAATGCCGGTTCTTCGAACCTCTGGAGGAGGAACACGCCGCTGCTGGTGTGGCCATAGCTCTTCGGGATTGGTCCATTTCGTTCCGGGTACCGCATGACATCAGGCGGTACCCGGAAGAATCAAATGGGCAGTGACGTATCTCCAACGAGGCGTTTTGGGGAGGTATTTTCTGTGTTAGAGTTTTACTCGCTACAGGGTGTACTTTGAGGGTTTTGACTCTGCACACCGTTTACATGCATAAAAACCTTCATAACACACAAGGGGATGGGTAATAACCGGAAAAGCATGACATGGGAGCTTTAACATAAATCAAGTTGAAACACTCATAACTTAAAAATAAATTCCTAAATCCGCTACAGCCTTGTGTTTCTGCTTTGTATATACTGTGTCCTATAAATAACATGTGTATACAGCTTGCACATACAGTATGTTTTGGAACAAGTCTGTACAAAGTCATGGTCTTTTTTTTAATTTAAAATTATCTAATTAAATTACTCTTGACTTCCCGTTCATGAAAATGAATCATTATCTTAATTACCTACGAGGTATCTCAACCTCACGTGTGATAGTCATCTGTTGATGTGAGCATAGAACATAATTGTGCATTCTTTTGTGTGTTTCCTCTTGGGTGTGTGACTGTGTGATGTTTTCATGTGTGTGCAGGACAGGGGCTATTCATGTAGGGGACCGGATCCTGGCGATCAACAGCATCAGTCTGAAAGGGAAGCCCCTGAGTGAGGCCATCCACCTGCTGCAGATGGCTGGGGAGACCGTAACTCTCAAGATCAAAAAACAACTGGACAGTATGTATGAAAAGTGTTTCTAATAAATAAACAGGATGCAGCTCAAAAACAAGTTGGCACACAACACAAACAAAAAATCATTCAAGTAGGTAAAACATATTCACACACATGCAGCATAGTACATGAGTAAAATAGCCAAGATAATAAATTAAATTAAATTATCCAAAAGTATCCACTCAGTATAAAAGTAAGATGAAAAAGTCCCAAATATATAAAAAAAATATATATATTAAGACAACATTTAAAATGTAATAAAGTAATAAATAAATGAACAATAATAAGAATATATGTATGTGTATGAATTATATATATATATATATATATATATATATATATATATATATATATATATATATATATATATATTCTTTTTAAAGACACAATTTAAAATTAATAAATATTAAGTAAATGATAAATACATATTTATTTATTAATATAAATATACAAATATATATATATATATATTTATATATTTATATATATATATATATATATATATTTAAATATATGTATTTATATGCATCATAAACTAATTACAAAAAAATATTAATAATAACGCGCTAACCCAATTTTATTTTGGGGAACTTTTGGAATAATAAAAAAGCGTGCTGTTGAGAACCTTAGTGCATTGGACATCAAACAAAGGAGAAGTGATGATATAAGAGGTTGCAGAACCATTAAGAGCTTTTTATACTATTAGAAGGTCTTTAATATACATTTTAAAATATAGAAATTAAACCGTGAAGTTGCAATGAAACAACTTTTTTATTTGCTTTATCTTTATAAATATTTCCAAGCTTCTTAATTGAACTCAGTGTTTCGGGAATCAGCCTTTTAGTACACACTAATTTTATAAAGCCCCTTTTTAAAAAAAAAACGTTCATAAATGTTTGAGTTTTTACACAATGTGAACAGTTTTACGTATCATATCAACATTAGCTTCTGACTTGCAATCAACATGGTCTTTGTTGTTTGATGATAATTTATTGGATCAACTTTATTCCGTTCTTTTCTCTCAAAGATATAGAGGATAGGAAGGCAGCAGAGGCAGAGGACACAACGGAAAACGAGATCAGTGACACTGAGGAGGATGATTTGACGGACAGCCAACAGACCAATAAGCTCTCAGAGCTTTACTCCACAACCATACCCAGCGTGGACTCTGCCATGGAGTCATGGGACGGCTCAGGGATGGACGCTGGATATGGCAGCCAGGGTAAGCTTTAGAGGAAGAGCAAATGTATTAATCCCACAGGGGGAAGGAAGCCCAAACAGTGTCTCCATCTGCCCTACATCACTAGATAAATCCCACAAGAGGAAACTCACTGACAGACAGAAAAGACAGAGGTGTCAGAGCAAATGTTGGTCCTTGTGGGACTCAAACAAGTTCCCATTCGGTTCCAAAGCTAAATCCCTAGAGACTGAGAAACTGCCGCCCCAGATAAAAAAAAAAGATGGTTAAAGTTCAAAATTGCCTTACACTGCAAAACAAATAAAAAAAAACTCTTTAGGACTGCTGAATTGGAACGGGAACATTTGTCGCATGTCAACCGTGGTGGCAGTGGCTCTTAAAAATGCTCAAGAGGACATAACAAATTGCAGACCCTTATAGTTTCTATAGCAAGGAAACATCCCGAATCCAAATGGTTATATTTATAATACGAAATTTGTATTTATCTGTACAGAAGTAACTGAGCACTCTTTAAAAATGGTCAGCCCCCTAACAATGGTGTAAATATATGCAGAAGTAGATTGAACAAATAGATGGTAGAGGATAGACTACATTTATTAATACAGATTTCCTCACAAAATTACAGAATCCTTGTTGTGTCGCCTACCGAGCCTGTTTATAGCCTGTAGGCTACGGACATCATCCTTTTCGGTTAATCTATTCTGTTTAACTGACCATAGCAGTGTAAACTGTACAGTGATGCTGTATTATGTCCTTTTTGTTGTTCTGTTTATGTTTTTATGTTTCATGTGGAACCTACTTGAGCAGGTCTCCCTTGAAAAAGAGATCAATGATCTCAATGGGATACACCTGGATAAATAAAGGTTTGAAATGAAATGAAACTAGAGAATGCAATTCCTGAAGAAATTGCTAGTGGGAATGCTTTATGCTGAAAAGCTGACGCTGAATTGCTATGCTGAAATGTAATGTGTAAGAAGAAAGTGAAGAATTCAGATTGAAATGATACATGAACACTGGGGGCTTGAATGTGATGTAGTGGAGTACAGAGCTTCATGACTGCGGAGCGTGTGAACGTTGTGATCAGCTGTTTTAGCACAGGGCTGCTGTACAGACCGACGTTAACAGCAGCCCTGTCTGTGCACACGGAGACCGACTCTGTCGTCCGGTGATCTAACCGCCTTCTGGAAAAGCTTCACAAGTACGTCGGTACGCAAATGCGCTTTGTGACACAAGTGACGGTAGGCATTTCAGATTGTTGCCGCGCATGCGTACCTGCGTACCAGTTATGTGCACCCCTGATTATAACTAAAGACTACAAGGTGATTACTGTCTTCTGAACAAACCACAGACACTTGTCTCATTCATGGACTGACGGTGGCGCTACGATGCAGTTAACAGTAGTCAGCCAAAAAACTATCTACGGTAGAAAAAAAAATGGATCGAGATTAGGAATACATTTTCCAATTAAAGATATACTTACGTTGTTACCTGTTGGTTCCCGTTTGCCTTGAAGTTGTAGTTGTACAGTAACACTGATTTTGTCAGTGTTGTTGAGTCAAGTTAAGCTAGCTAACTTTGCCACACAACTGACCGGTAATTCATGTAATGACTCACGTTTAATTTGAGTAAAATCCAGAGATTATAATCTTCCTTAGAGCAGGGTTGCCAATTTTGGGTACCTGGCTGGAGTGAGATTTTGATATCATGGGTTTAATTACACATATGCGCACTAAATGACTGCTATCGTGTCAGTAGCGGGACCTTAGCATATATATAGGATATATATACAATATATACAAATACACAATATTGGACACAGACTATAAAGGGCACAAAGTTTAATTCACTAATGAAAGTCAAACACATGTTTGTTTCCACTGTTTTATTGTGTGCATAGGCCTGTCGCGATAAGCAAATAATTGACTTATCGTACGATAAATAAAAATGAACTCGATAAATTGCCATTTACATGAGGATGTGACTAGCAGTTTGAAAGGATGCACTTGAATTATTATTATATATTATCCTTATGTCAGTGGTCTAAAATGGTCATACAACGGTGCCGACAATATTATCGTTTATCGCAATAATTTCCGGGAAAATGTATCCAACAAAATTAATTATCGTGAGAGGCCAAACACACACAAACAAACAAATCTACAGACTTACTCCAAACTGCCAAATATATTAATTAACACACTCTCACTCTCATATACTCTTTGACTCTATTTTGGCCTAGTGGAACAATAAGCAGCAGACTTTTACTTTTTATCATTTCTACTGGATCTTAGATCTGCGCATGCGCAATAAGGGTCTGTTAACGTTGTTAAGAGTGGTGGGGGCGGATCGACAGCTTGAGCAGCTGTCAACTCAACATTGTAAATAACCAACCTAAAACGATTGCCGGTTCATCTTGTTTTTGGCGTGAGAATAGTTTGGGCAGCGTGAGAGTGTGAGATTGAGAGTGAAAGCGTGTGTCACACGCCAGATGCGTGAGAGTTGGCAACCCTGCCTTAAGGCCCGGACACACCAGCCCGATTTTGGGAGTCAGAGGCCGCCAGAGGCCGTCAGAGGAAGTCGGGCATTCGCGGCGCCCTACTCAGGTTTGTGTGTCCCGCACCGTCGTCTCTTTACGGCACCATTTCACACCTCCCGACTCCTCCCGCGGCCGATTCAACATGTTGTCGGGACAAGCAATCACTCTGATTGGCTGTTCACACTACCGCTGCCTGCTAGTAAGGACAGTTATTGCCACTCGTCGACTGAAGTATTTGCGGTGTGTTCGTAGGCGGGCGGCTTAGCCGACGCAGGCGACGTAGCTGACGGAAAAGTCGGGAAAAGTCGGGAAAAGTCGGTACGCGTTCTTTGGTCTCAGGTGGGTGTGTAGCGGCCTTTAGAGTGTGGGTTTATCACCTTTAAATGGATTAGTTATTGGTAATGTATCTGTGAGTCACAATAGCTCCCCTTGCCCACACGCTGCTTTGCCAGCGCGGTATGTTGCGTGATTAGCATGTAGCTTAGCCATCAGTGCTCTGAGCCCGAACGTTTCTTTACAGTAATCGGTTTCTCCTACAATGGCAAACTATAAATGAACACTTTATGTCGTTTTTGTATTCCTTCTGCAGGTACATACAACCACCAGGCCGCTGGTATTGCCCTCCACCCCCACGAGTGGCGTAGCGCCAAGCAGCAGCGCAGCACCACACCTCCACCCGGACGCCGGAAGAACTACCCGTTCAGTGACGGAGGCTTCAGTGAGGATGACTGGGACAAACCACCAGGGTAGGACTGAACTTAGCTTGCTCTTTTTAACTATCATTTTTGTAACCTTAATGCTTTAGCTCACAATTTTTTTGTTCATGCTAACACGATTTCAGATATTTTTGTTTAGCAGGATATTAATTTCCGTTCAATCTTGCATCATACAGAACATTCAGGTCTGCACTGATTTCGATTTTTGCCGAAGAAAATATGAACCAAAGTTGAAGCAAATGGGCACTGTTATGGTCTTTTTAAGCCTTTTTTTCTAAACCTCCAGATCGGCAGAATCAATTATTAATTCATTTCATTACAAAATTAAATGTATTTTATTTTTAGGGATGATTTCATTCCAATTGATTGCACACCGCCTTTCACTGTCCCGCTGCTCACAACATTAAGGATGAGAAAAAGGGTTCTTACACTGTTCCACAAAAAAAAAAAAAGCACATTATTATTAGATATTGAATAATTATGAATCTAATGTGTTGGTACAGAGCCAAAACAATGTAAATGTATCCCAATTTGCAATCTCTGAAATTAATCCATAGTTAAAATGATATTATTATGTAATGTTCAAATAATCCATTAACATTAACATTGTACAACTAAGATTGCGCTCTGTTTTGTCTTGTTTTGTGCGTTAATTCAGTGTTTACATACAGTACACCGAACTCTTTCACCAGGGAAGAGCTCCTAAACATTACAGAAACAACTTCAGCGGATTACTTTCCTACTTTTCTCTGCTCTTCCGTGGAATTATTGGACATTCTTGTAAAAGGTACCCTCACGTGCATTCGAGCACTGAAACGCCACAGGAGTGGGAAACGGGCCGGGACACTCGTGCGCCTCCGGAGCCGCGGAGTTCACACGCCGCTACCCGGAATATTCCTCTGCAACGTGCGTTCCATAAGCAATAAACTGGACGAGCTTCAGCTACTGGTTAGTAGAAACAGAGACTTTTCTTCATCTTGTGTTTTGTGCTTCACTGAGACCTGGCTGTGTAGATCGATTCCGGACTTGGCGCTGCAGCTGGGAGGCTTCCAGCTGTTCAGAGCGGATCGTGACACGGAGCTCTCTGGCAAATCAAAAGGTGGAGGAATATGTTTTTACACAAACAGTGGCTGGTGCAACGATGTGACAGTGATTCTGCAGCACTGTTCTCCCACTCTGGAAACTTTTATCATCAACTGCAAGCCCTTTTATTCCCCCCGCGAGTTCTCTTCATTCATACTGGTCGGTGTTTACACGCACACTCGCCGACCAGATACTGTGTGTGGAGAGGACTTACCCGGACTGCCTAGTTATTGTTCTTGGTGACTTTAACAAAGGCAACCTCAGCCACGAACTCCCAAAATACAAACAGTTTATTAAATGCCCCACCAGAGAGGGGAATATTTTGGATCACTGTTACACTGGGCTACTCTGACCACACCATGGTCCACCTGATTCCTGCATACAGGCAGAAACTCAAACTGTTTAAACCTATAGTGAGGACATTCAGGCAGTGGAGCACTAAAGCTATGGAGGAACTTCAGGCGTGTTTGGACTGTACTGACTGGGACATGTTTAGGACTGCCACTCAAAGTCTGGATGAATATACAGAGGCTGTGACGTCATACATCAGCTTCTGTGAGGACAGCTGTGTAACAACACGCACCAGGGTGAGTTTCAACAACAACAAGCCCTGGTTCACACCTAAACTGAAACAGCTAAAGGCCCTGACACACCAAGCAGTCACCAGAGAACTCGCCGACGGCGACTGTTGCGTCGCCGTGTTCTCCTGCGTCTTGGCCATGTGTCTCACTGGAACACACCGCAAAGACTTCAGCCGAGCACGTACGAACTGCGCATGCGTGAGTGGCAATAACTCTCCTTACCAGCAGGCGGCGGTAGTGTGTATTCGTCATTCAAATGAGGCAACAACCGGAAGACAGAGAAGAAGAACAGACTGCGTGATCTAAACAAACAACAAATAGCGTGTGCGTTCCATTTTCACTCTCGTCCATCGTAAACATGTTTCGTGCGGTACTGGAGCTATCAGCCATTGGAGTGTTGCTTGTGGAAGACATTCTCAAGCAACCGTTTTGCTTCTCATGCACTGATTCGCTAGCTGAACAGCCAATCAGAGTGGTTTCTTGGTCCGACTGCCTGTGTCCGACGCATGGCCGATTCAACATGTTCTGGCCGTGAAAGGCCAAATAAGGCGTGTCACGGCCGACGGTTCGGGACACACCAAATTGAGTTTGGGCGACAGGACACGCTTCGTCGTCCGACTAACGAAGACGGCCGATTTCGGCCTGGTGTGTCTGGGCCTTAAGATTGCAAAAGGAGGAGGCGTTTAGGAGTGGCAATAAGGCACGTTTTAGAGAGTCGAAGTACGTCTTTGGCAAGGCGGTGAGAGATGCTAAACGACAATACCCTGAGAAACTCCAACATCAGGTCTCAGCAAACGACTCTGCTTCTGTCTGGCGTGGTCTAAAGGTCCTTACACACCGAGCCGATTTTCGACGTCTCGACACAGGTTCGGGAAAGCCCCATGAGCTTCTCGTTGTAGAGTGAAAATGGAACGCACACGCTATTTGTTGTTTGTTTATATCACGCAGTCTGTTCTTCTTCTCTCGGTGTATCACACAGTCTGTCTTCCGGTTGTTTCCTCTTTTGAATGACGAATACACACTACCGACGCCTGCTTGTAAAGAGAGTTATTGCCACTCACGCATGCGCAGTTCGTACGTGCAACTTGGCGGCCGGCTGAAGTCTTTGCGGTGTAACAGCCAGATGCAATGTTTGCAAGGCGGAGGTTCCGCGTGGTGGAAAGAACAGAGCTACGTTCAACACGACCAATCTAATACGCCACCTGAGAAACAAACACCAACAACAACACGATGAGTACACAGCGGCCACTCAGGTAACGGCACTGAAACAACCAACACTTTCAGAGACTTTTAAAAGGAAAGAGAAACTGCCCCAGAACAGTGAAAAGGCCAAAAAAATAACAGCCAAGATAGCTGAATTCATCGCGTTGGATGACCAGCCGTTATCTGTTACTTTTTTTTCTCTTAATGCATTGCATAAAGATCGGATCGGGAAAAATCGGTATCGGCAGATTGTCAAAATCAAATGATCGGAATCGGATCGGGAGCAAAAAAAGGTGATCGGGACATCCCTAACGCAAACGGTTGTATCCGCTACTTTTCTCTTTCGTATAGCCCGTTCGTTCACACAAGGCCGTAACGGAAACGCGGAAACGGACCCCGCAAATGATAACGGGTCCCAAGGTGGATAGATCTGCAAACGGAACACTCTGGGGGGGCAAACGGCTCTGTGTGTACGCCCTATACGATCATTTCCTGATAACGTTGAAGCCATAGCCCCACCTCTCCCCACCTCTGCTGCTCACTGCTGTAGCATGGTCAGTAGCTACTCTCAGTAGCTACTGTCAGTAGCTACTGCTACTGCTACTGACCATGCTACAGATGTTAGTGCAACATCTACAGCTCCTCTACCACAACCATCAGCAACAAGTAGACATGGAGAATTACATGAACTACATGTTGCTAAATCCACCGCGGGGCATAAACAGAAGGGCAACCATGGCAACCATGCTCGGGGGTCTTCTTCGCTGCTTTTGGTGTATTTTGTGGCGAAAGTACAGCGCCACTTACAGGCCCGGCATATGTACTACAGCGTCTCCAGCACTCCCGAGCGGTCTCGTGTGAACGGAAGACTTTTGATCTCGTATTCGGTTCGTTTGCGTTTCGTATGCGTTTGCGTGTAAATGGGGTCTTAGGCCCTAGCACTTTTCTAATTTTGTCCGGAAAATTTAAACTTTAACGGACATTAACGGACATTAACGAACTTTAACGAACTTTAACGGACATGTTTAACGGAAGGCTGTGGCTCAGTGGGTTATTGCTCAGTGGGTTAGTGTGCTGATCTTCGAATCAGAGGATAGCAAGTTCGAGTCCCACTGCAGTCAGCATGTCGTTGTGTCCCTGGGCAAGACACTTCACCCCAAATTGCTCCTGTGGGGATTGTCCACAGTACTGAATGTGTGTAAGTAACTCCAGCGAAACGGAAGTGAGGGACCCAAACAAACTATTAAGAAGGCAAATCTGAGATTTAATTTAACTCTAGCTCTCGACACAGGTTCGGGAAAGCCCCATGAGCTTCTCGTTGTAGAGTGAAAATGGAACGCACACGCTATTTGTTGTTTGTTTATATCACGCAGTATGTTCTTCTTCTCTCGGTTATCACGCAGTCTGTCTTCCGGTTGTTTCCTCTTTTGAATGACGAATACACACTACCGCCGCCTGCTGGTAAGGAGAGTTATTGCCACTCACGCATGCGCAGTTCGTACGTGCTTCTTGGCCGTCGGCTGAAGTCTCTGCGGTGTGTTCCAGTACGACACATGGCCAAGACGCAGAGACGCGAGGCGACACAACAGTCGGGGGTCCATCTGTGTCAGTTCTTTGGTGTCAGCTTGGTGTGTCCGGGCCTTTAGACAGATCACAAACTACAAGCCAAAAGCCTCACTCTCCATGAACGACCAACGCCTTGCAAACGATCTGAATCAGTTCTACTGTAGATTGGAAGACAAAGAGTTCAGTCCTGACCCCATCCCCCATGACACCTCCCAACAGCTTCAGTCTCACATGTGGGTTCATTGATCATTGTACGCCTCCTATGTGGATGTCTTATTGTTTTGTCAAGCACTTTGTGACTTTGTCTGTGAAAAGCGCTTTATAAATAAACTTTACTGACTTACCTCCACGTCCCCCTCCCCTTCAGTGTCCCACTCTCCTACACCACTGACCTCCCCCGACACAACACATTCTCTCTCAATCAATGAAAGGGATGTAAACAGACTTTTCAAAAAACTCAATAGCAGAAAAGCGGCTGGCCCTGACAATGTCTCCCCCTCCACCCTGAAGCTCTGTGCTGATCAGTTGTCTCCTGTGTTTACCGACATCTTTAACACCTCACTGGAGACATGCCACGTCCCAGCATGCTTCAAAACCTCAACAATCATCCCGGTTCCCAAGAAAACAAGGATCACAGGATTAAATGACTACAGACCCGTCGCCCTGACCTCTGTGGTTATGAAGTCCTTTGAGCGCCTTATAATAATAATAATAATAATGGGTTCCATTTATAAAGCACTTCATATTTGATTTCAAATCCCGAAGTGCTACAAGCAGTGAGCATGAACAGTATAAATAGACATTACATTATTAGAAATAATAAAAAGCAATAAAAAAAAAAAAAATAAAATAAAAGGGTGGTAAAAAGGTCTAGGCAAAGGCTCTTTTGAAGAGATGGGTTTTGAGGCCTTTTTTAAAAGCCTCCACGGTCTGTGGTGCTCTCATGTGGTCGGGGAGAGCATTCCACAGACTGGGGGCAGCCGAGCAGAAGGCCCGGTCTCCCATAGTACGGAGCTTAGTCCTGGGGGGTTTGAGCAAGTTGGAGTTGCTGGAGCGGGCGGTCCGCAAGGAGGTATGGGTGGTGAGGAGTTCCTTGAGGTAGGGAGGAGCAGTTCCATGGATACACTGGTGGGTGAGGACGGAGACCTTGAATTCGATCCTCAGTTCCACGGGGAGCCAGTGTAGTGCTTTAAGGATGGGGGTGATGTGATCATATTTGCGCACCCTCATCAGGATCCTAGCAGCGCTGTTCTGAATGTATTGGAGCTTCTGGATGCTTTTGTTAGGGATCCCGATGAGGAGTGCATTGCAGTAGTCCAGCCTGGAGGAGACAGAGTGAGTGTGAGGCGGAGTTTGGCGATGTTCCTGAGGTGATAAAAGGAGTTCTTGCACAGCTGTTTAATGTGGGCCTCAAAGGTCAGATGGGCGTCCATTTTAACACCCAGGTTGGTGACTATTGAGGAGAGGGTAATGTCCTGGCCGGAGAAGGTGATGGTGGTGATGGTGGATGACTGAACCTGGTGTGGGGTGCCAACTATAATGGCTTCGGTCTTGGAGCTGTTGAGTTTCAGGAAGTTTTGCTTCATCCACGCCTGTATCTCCTCCAGGCAGGCAGTGAGTGTGGGTGAAGGCAGGGCTGCAGAGGAGGTAGGGTTGATCCTGAGGTACAGTTGGGTGTCATCAGCGTAGCAATGGAATGATACTCCATGTCGGCTGATGATAGAGCCAAGGGGGAGCATGTAGAGTGTGAAGAGGGTGGGGCCGAGAACTGATCCTTGAGGGACACCACAGGTGACGTTGTGGGTACCCGACTCTGCCTCGCCCAAGGAGACGTACTCTGTTCTCCCGGTGAGGTATGATCAGAACCAGTCAAGGGGGGAGTCAGAGAGTCCGATGGTGGAGTGCAGACGATGGAGGAGAATGCCGTGATCGACGGTGTCGAAAGCTGCAGTGAGATCGAGGTGGATGAGGAGAGAGGGAGAGCCAGCATCAGCCGTCATCAGCAGGTCGTTGGTGACCCTGACCAGGGCAGTTTCTGCCTTGTCCTGTCCCACCTAAAATCCATCACAGACCCACTCCTGGACCCCCTGCAGTTCGCCTACAGAGCCAACAGGTCTGTGGACGACGCTGTCAACATGGCCCTTCACTTCCTCCTCCAACACCTGGACACACCAGGAACCTACGCCAGGATCCTGTTTTTGGACTTCAGCTCTGCCTTCAACACGATCATCCCGGCTCTGCTGCAAGACAAGCTCTCCCAGCTGCACGTGCCCGACTCCACCTGCAGGTGGATCACAGACTTCCTGTCTGACAGGAAGCAGCACGTGAGGCTGGGGAAACACGTCTCTGACCCCCGGACCATCAGCACCGGTTCCCCTCAAGGCTGCGTTCTTTCCCCTCTGCTCTTCTCCCTGTACACCAACAGCTGCACCTCCAGTCACCAGTCTGTCAAGCTCCTGAAGTTCACAGACGACACCACGCTCATCGGACTCATCTCTGGTGGGGACGAGTCTGCCTACAGGTGGGAGATGGACCATCTGGTGACCTGGTGTGGGGAAAACCACCTGGAGCTCAACGCCCTAAAAACAGTGGAGATGGTTGTGGACTTCAGGAAGAACGCAGCCCCACCCGCCCCCATCACTCTGTGTGACTCCCCATTAACTGCTGTGGAGTCTTTCCACTTCCTGGGCACCATCATCGCCCAGGACCTCAAATGGGAGCAGAACATCTGCTCCCTCATCAAAAAAGCACAGCAGAGGATGTTCTTCCTGAGGCAGCTGAAGAAATTCAACCGGCCAAAGACAATGATGGTGAACTTCTACACCTCCATCATCGAGTCCATCCTCACCTCCTCCATCACCATCTGGTATGCCGCAGCCACAGCCAAGGAAAAGGGCAGGCTGCAGCGGGTCATCCGCTCTGCAGAGAAGGTGATCGGCTGCAATCTGCCATCCCTCCACAACCTGCACGCCTCCAGAACCCTGAGGCGTGCAGGGAAGATAGTGGCCGACCCCTCCCACCCTGGACACAAACTGTTCACCCCCCTCCCCTCTGGCAGGAGGCTGTGCTCCATCAGGACCAAAACCTCTCGCCACATGAACAGTTCCTTCCCCTCCGCTACCGGCCTCTTAAACAAGGCCCGGCCCCCCCACTGACACTTTACCTCAGCCACAACGTAGACTCTATATGCATTACATTAATGCACACAATGTTCATACTGCTTACTGCACATATTTCTTGTTTCATATTTCATATTTGATATCCTATAATTCATTCATAGCATTCTATTTCCATGTAAATTACTGCTTTATTGTATTGTTATTTTACTATATTTTATTACGGTTTTATATTAGATTTCTTGTTTTATATTTTATGTCTGCATCATGACATCAAGTCAAATTCCTCGTATGTGTGAACCTACCTGGCAATAAACCTGTTTCTGATTCTGATTCTGATTCTGAACTGTAATGGTATTACTCAAATAATTGTTTTGTTTATCCAAAAGTAAAAAATGGCCGGCATAAGTTCTGGGCAAAAGGTGGTGTTTTCAAATTCCAAAACCAAAAGATGATCAATGTTTAATGATATATTGATATAAACAAATGAAAGAAATTGGGCATTTTTTTTGTAATGTATTAAATAACTGCATAATCTTCATCACTCTGGTGTCTACATTTTATAATCCAGTAATTCAGACTTCATTTCTTGTGCTAGTGTCAGCACAGTGTTTGTGGTGAAGTGGACATTTCAGTGTGGAATTGGAGTCATGTGGCCGGTGAAACTGACAGAGCAGTGTTTGTGTCAGTGTGATGAGTCAGGAGGTTAATCCTTGTGAAGATAGCAACATTCACCCGGGGTTATATAACACTAATGGGGGTGGAGAGACAGAGAGTGAGGATGAGGTGAGACAAATATCAGCTGCACAGTGAAAGTGAATTAATGCTGTCAGCCGAGGACGCTCAGTGTTGAAACATTACTCATGATGCAGTTAACCAGAACAAATAGCCTTAACACTGCTCTGTCTTCACATACCACGTTCATTTCTGCCTTTATGTGCAGACTCAATTCCACACCATTCCACCATTTGATTATTACAATGACTCATGTTTAGTTACATTATCCTAGTGTTCAAGCAGTGGTGGAATGTAGACAAGTATCTTAACTCAAGTGTTGTTCTTTACATGAGTATTTTTCCTCTACTACCACTCCTTCACATTTATTTGACAGCACTGGTTACCAATCACTTTATAGATGCTTTATCAGATGAATAGCTTATAGAGAGAACAAATCAACTAATAAATAAACAGTGACATATCATTTTAGGTTAAGATATCAAGTTGCTGTATATATAGTAATTGCAAATAGCCCCACCTTTACCAGCTGTGAAGAACACATTAATGCATCAATAATAACAATTCAGTCATTTAATATATATATATCATTCGGAAATGTTCCAGTATGCAATACTTTGGTACTTTAAGTAGGCCCTATTATGCGTTTTGGGGTTTTCCCTTTCCTCTGTTCTATGGGTTTTCGTGCATGTAAAAGGTTTCTCTCGCACCCACCTGCCTAAAACACCTCCATTGGACTCCTTTGTCAGTGACATCACTATATCACAATTGTGCTTCTATTGGTTAGTAGCCAACGGCTAAGACCTTTGTTTGAGCATGTTAACATGTCACATTAGAAGCACAAAATACAAATATGAACCTAAGAAAAGAGCATAATATGTCCTCTTTAAGACCTTTTTCATGGCAATACCTTTTTACTTTACAATTTGGCTTTGGAGTACTTCCACCACTTTTCAAGGTAAGATAAAAAGCTACAAGTAAAGAGAAAAGCACATTTTACATTTTAAACAAGTCATGACCATGAAGCACATCTACCAAGACTTAGCACAAAAAGTGTTTTTGACCAGCTCGGTACAAGTGACCCTGACAGTAACTTGCTTTCAAAGCAGCTTATTTAACTTCATTTTTGTTTGTGTGTGACAGATTTATCGGCCAACAACCAGATGGTATAATGTTGGATCCAGATGACAGTTTCTGGTGTCAGGCGCTTGAGGATCTGGAGACGTGCGGCCAATCAGAACTGCTCCGAGAGATTGAGGTCAAGCAGCATGCAAGCATCCACCACCAACTTAGATTAACAAGTCATAAGCTTTATTCAGCAAAATGCTTGAACCCTAAAGATACCACATACAAATTAGCTGTTGGTTACAATAGCATGTTAGCATTAGCATCAAACATGAACAAGACTCTCCCCAAATTATACACTCACACACAATCCAGCTGGATTTAAACGTTATTTTTTAAATCAGTATTGCTAACAAATTAGCAATAGTTTCAGCTGACATTTAATTGTGTATGTTTTGGTGTGTGCAGGCGTCAATAATGACAGGAACAGCCATCAGTCTGGGTGTAGAAGGTGCTAACAAGCCTCAAGCTGAGCCCATACTGACCCACAGCAGGATGAGCCCGCTGCGGAGAAATTCCCTCCTGCACCAGGGAAACCTGTTCCACCAGGGGACACACCTGCACGAGCATGCTCACCTGCATGAGGAGGCCCAACTCCACCAAGGTATATAAACAGCAGATGTGACAGCCGCAAGGTTGCCTCCCCAAGCTCATAATATATCATTCAGTGGCGGCTGGCCAATAGGGGGCGATAGGGTGCCGCCCTTATTAATAATAATAATATTAATTAATTATATAAATTGTAAATATTTGTGTGTTTAAAATATGGAATGCAGCCATAAATATGTGTAAATATGATTTTAAAATAATTTGCGCAAAATATATGCGCAAACTTCAGTCATACACTGTATGACTGAATTTCATTTCTGGGGCGATGGAGAAATTGCCCCACGGAGGCGGGTCTCTGTAGCAGGTTAACCAATTGCTGATTCAAGATAACGTGTGTCATAAAATGTACCCAATCAGCGTCCTCAAAACTAATACCAGAGGGGTGATTATTTTATCGCCCCAAGTAAGCAACTGCAATGCAGCTGGGCGACGGCCACAGGATTGCGGTGAGGAAACACAATGAGGAGGTGGATAAAAACAGGCATATTTTATCCAAAATAATGAAGTTTTGTGGGGCTTTTGAGTTGGCTTTGCGTGGGCATGTCAAGACTGACTCTTCAGTCAACCCTGGCATTTTCAGGGGATTGATGGATTTTGTTTCCTCCCTACATATATACATATATTATATATATATATATATATATATATCATAAATATATATATATATATTTCCATACATATATATATATATATTATATATACATATATGTATGCAAGTATTGCTAATGCCATTGTATTTAAGTTTTTGTACATAGTCCTCAGTCTCAAATGCTTAAATTGTTTATGGAGGCATTAAAATGTAAGACTGGTAAATTAACACTGAAAACTCCTGTTTGTTTTGCATTAAGTCATACTGGAATGTTTGCTGAAATTGATTGCATGTGGCACAGCCCTACCTAGAAAAAATTCCACCAGCCGCCACTGATATCATTACCTAATAAAAATGTTTTCTAATTTGGGAGAAATGTTAAAAATGAACTGATATAATCTTTCTTAAATTGTTTTTATTAACTTTATAATCCCAGACGCCCACCTGCTCCAGGAGGCCCATTTCAACCATGAGGCCCACCTGCAGCATGAGGCCCACCTGCACCAGGGGGCCTACATCCACCAAGATAACCAATCCCTCCTGCACCATGATTCCAAGCCTAAAGCCTCCCTGAGAGTGTCAGAGAGGACGTGGGAGTCTCGTCGGATCAAAGAGGAGATGCAGGGCATTCTGTCCCCAACGCCTCTGGAGCTGCACAAAGTGAGTCCAAACCGTCTGGAGACAGGATGTGGGGTCTGTTCTGGGTTAGGTCTTGTGATATACAGTATGTTGATCTGAGGGATCTAGTGTAGGTTGAAAACTAAGAACAAGGACAGGTATTGAGAGTCTGATGTGTTGATAGCAAGAGTTTTATTTTATAGTCTAGTTTAAATATGTTTCACTGCAGAGATTTAGCTCAGATTAAAGATTTGAATTTTAATAAATATGATTATTTGCTTTCTCTTTCACAGTTAAACACTACGATCGATAGTATAATCATGTCTGTGGACATTATGGATAGTGGATGTCAAAATGTACCAATTCTGAAATAATGATACTTGATTCAAAGTTTACATTGTTTTTCTTTGATATGACAACTTGACATTAACCAACCCAACATATCTACAATCTAAAACTGTCATAGATGGCATACTGCTCAAACCTAAAGAAAATCACAAAAGTTATTCATGACAGCCAATGTCAATACCAACCACATATGACAGTCAATTGTTGAATATCCGGCCTGTTATGACATGTTTATTACAGGTTATGCTATTTTTGTTCTACTTACTGTTGCATTTAATATGTATGTAATAAATGTTTAATAATTTACAGAATCGCACTCAATCATAACATATGCAGCAGTAACTTAATCCTTAGGCATTAGGGTAGGAAACCAGTGGTTCAAGTCCCCAAACAAATGGTTTAGTGTAACATTTTAAAGAGAACATTACATTTTTAGAGTGCAGGATATCATGTTACAGTAAAGAATGTATAGTGTAGCGGCCCTACCCCCTTTGGCAGCAGTTTTGCAGGCAGCTACATGTCTTCACCCTCTGGGGATTCACAATTATGACCATATACATATATGTGAGGGTCTGCCCAGACGTGTACAGCCGAGGGCTAGAGTGAAAAACACGTTTGTTTTCCATAGTAAGAACTTGTTGCTTGTTGGCCATGAGCCAAAATGGAGCCTTTAAATGGTGTCTCAACAAAAGAGCCTACACTATTCTAAAATCATACAATACTGCCTTTCTTTTAATCTATAGTTCTTAGCAAAACATCTGACTTCCATTATCCTGCAATTCTACAGTACTGAGAAGTGGTCTTTAGTTTGAGTGGCCTGTCGAACATGTATCCTGTTAAAGTATGCAAGCTTTGCTTTTAAATTAGTTTATACCAATCCCCATCACATCTGTGAAGAGCACAATACAAAAACCCAATAATCTGTAACCAAGGGGACTCGTTATAAATTAAGAAAAATGTAGGATCTTTGTAAATGTTCTTTAAAAATAGGAGAAAAACAACACCTTGCTAAGTGTTAAATAAAGGGCTGAAACTTAATTTTAGATTGACTTTAAGGGCTCTAACACTTTTGACTAACTCTCAGTGTCAGTTGGATAGGGTTAGGGTGACCATTACCATTAAGTGCAGTGTCTCCTTATATATAGGCTTCCCTTTTTCCTCCAAAAGTAAAACCAACAGCAACTTTACAGTAGCTATTTTTCTGTCAGGCATATTGTCAATTAACTTTTGGAGCATATGATGAGACATATGAATGGGCGGCTAATTTGTTGTGTCACTGACCAATCATTTCCTGACCAAGCCTTTCTCTCTAAGCTAATCGCACAGTGATGCTACTTATACCTCTAGAATCTGTGGAATCTCAGCTTTCATATGATATCTTGTTTGTGCAGATCCGATAAGTAATACAGTATTTCTACCGTGAGTTCTGTGCTAAGTGCGTTAGCATTTTTCGCTCAGGGCTAATTCAGAGGCTTGGTATTACCCTTGTGTTTCGTTTTGGTAAAAATTGTTCATATCGTCAGTTAGCTGAGTTTCTTCCCGTTAAGTGGGTATGACACATTAATACAGCATTTCTCAAAGTGTGGGGCCCGCACATCAGAGATGTGATACATTTTTTGGACCTCAGGCCGGAATCGAACCTGGGTCCTCGCGGGCGGTAGTGGACTGTAACAGCCGGAGACTCACAACGGCGGTGAACTTTCACAGCGCCGGAGCCGCCGGAGCCTTGCAACGGCGGGTGTTTGCGGCTGTGGATGCGGTACCGGCGCAGCGGCGCTGTGAAAGTCCACGGCCCACCTATGCCAGAGCCAGCGGCCCACCGAAGGCAGCAGCCCACCGAAGGCAGCAGCCCACCAACGGCAGCGGCCCACCGCGAAAAGTCTTAAATCTCCCGGTGGCCAAATCCGAGCCTGCTCACACACACATAACTGAAACCAAATGAACGTGAATTCTGGCTTGGAGTGGAGAGGGTGTATCCAGTAATTGGGCAGAGAGCTGTGCACATTCTTCTTCGCTTCGCCACATCTTATCTCTGTGAAATGGGCTTTTCAGCTGTTGCAACACTGAAAACAAAATACAGATCTAGGCTCAACATTGAGCACGACTTGAGAGTGGCATTATCAAGCCTGCAACCGCGTTTTGAAAAGATGTGTAGTGCAAGACAGGCTCATTGCAGTCACTAATAATCCAGTGATGAGACTCATGCATTCAATTGGTCATTTGCTTTGCTGAATGTATTTCCTGAATGTATGAATGTATTGATTTGTTATTGATTTTCTCTATTTTGAACTGATGTTATTTGTTATCGATGATATTTGTTATTTAGTGGGAATGCTACGGACAAAATTCGTATTATTATTCCATCCAATTATTTTGGCCCTCTTCTCCTCCCACATTCAACATCGCAGAAACGTCAAACATCAAAACGTTCAGCTCGGTCGGGAATCGATGGCTATTACTTTTATCATTCATAACTTTCATAATTTCAGAGATACATCCCATAATTCATCCCATTTTTAACCATTGAAGTCAATGGAGAAATTCTTCAGACTTCAACAAATCTTCATGCGACTTCAACTGCTAACTGTTCATTCATACTTTCACTCAGAAACCTCATTCCAACTTTAAAATGTTACACATCTTTCTGACATTATTCGTGTAACACAACTTTTAAATCTGATTCTTACTTTTAGAGATATTAAACATTGTTCAGACCTTGGTAAAGAGGCTTTCTTCAGATTTTAACATTAACTAGAGTGCGTGATGTCACAGCTAGAGTGGGGGAAATCTTGAAATTTGCCTTCATATTTCTTTTTAAAACTGCCATAATTCCCAAACCCTACATTCCTGAGACATAATTTTTCATGACAAATGTAGGAAAACATCTCGTAGCTTGAAGAATGACAAATAATTAAGCAAAATAATTAAACAAAATGCCTCTTGAGGGCATGAAGTGACAAAAACTTTCAACATGCCTCCATTAAAGCTCATTGTAATTTCAGGCTGATATTTCCTCACGGTATCAGCCGCACACCTTTAGTTAAACTGCCAAAAAGGCCACATTATTAACCCGAAAGTACACAAAAACTGCACTTCAGATACTCAACTTCCTTGACATGCTTCACGCTTTGAAATTTCAGAGATATCTGTTACGGTTCTTCGACAAAACGTTCACATGTAAGAGGTTTATCTCTCATTTAGAACAATGGAAACCTTTGATCTCTGCACACCTCGTTAGCTTAAATATAAACACCTGTGTCATGGAACACGATGATGTCATAACACACAGGTGTTCGTGTTTGAGCTAACGACGTGGTCACTGGAGTTTAACAGACTGTCTGAGCCTATTCTTTTCTGTCTGATGGAGACTTCATACTAACTTCAACATGTTCCACCTATTTTATACATTATTGGTGACACACAGCTGTCGTCGTTAGCTCAAATATAAACACCTGTGTCATGGAACACGATGATGTCACATTGACAGGTTTGGTAACGATGCAGCCATCAACGCATCTAAGCGTATTATGGGGTGTCATCAAATGCCGTTGCCATGGCGACAGACCACTCGCCATGAAGCACGATGTCGCTGTAAGTCCAATGGACACGGTCCGATCGTCCCCCAAACTTCGCTTGTATATCACCGGTCCAGCCCTCAACAGCTATACGTCAATTATGGGGTTTCTTCAAATGCCGTTGCCATGGCAACACAATACTCGCCATGAAACACGGTTTTCTCATAACTTCAGTGAAAATGCTCCAAACGGCCCAAAACTTCACAGGTTTGGTAACGATGCAGCCATCAATGCATCTAACCGTATTATGGGGTGTCATCAAATGCCGTTGCCATGGCGACAGACCACTCGCCATGAAGCACGATGTCGCTGTAAGTCCAATGGACACGGTCCGATCGTCCCCCAATCTTCACTTGTATATCACCGGTCCATGCCTCAACAGCTCTACGCCAAATCTGAGGTCTCACCATATGCCGTTTCCATGGAAACCCATCCCTCGCCATAAAAGACAATGTCGCTATAACTCCTATGAACATTTTCAAAAAGTGCTCAAACTTCACATGTGTGCTAACAGTCCAGCCCTGAAGACATCTACGGGACATGCCGTTGCCATGGCAACACAATGCCCGCCATGAAACACGGTTTTCTCATAACTTCAGTGAAAATGCCCCAAATGGCCCAAAACTTCACAGGTTTGGTAACGATGCAGCCATCAACGCATCTAAGCTTATTATGGGATGTCATCAAATGCCGTTGGCATGGCGACAGATCATTCACCATCAAGTTAGTTCAAAGGTTTGCAGTTCAAATATTCTGCTGCTTTTCCAAGCCTTTTTACACATTCAAGCCCCCAGTGTTCATGTATCATTTCAATCTAAATTCTTCACTTTCTTCTTACATATTACATTTCAGCATAGCAGTTTAGCGTCAGATTTTCAGCATAAAGCATTCCCACTAGCAATTTCTTCAGGAATTGCATTCTCTAGTTTGTTATTGATTTTCTCTGTTTTTGAACTGATGTTATTTGTTATAGATATATTGTTATATTGTTATAGAACGATACATTTGACCATTTTAAGCTTGGTCTACCATTTTATTGGAGCGATGAGTTCAAAGTGGGGAAGGACAGAAAAAGTTTGAGAACCACTGCATTAATAGGTTGTTAAATGTTAAGAAGCCCTGAGACACAGTTTTGTGGAAAAAAAGCCTGCAGCCCCTGCTTTACTTTAAGTCAGCCAATGCTTTCCAGATCAATCTCCCATCCTTGTGTTGTTTCCTGTAGGTAACTGTGATAAAGGATCCAGAGATCGACGACTTTGGCTTCAGCGTGTCCGACGGCTTCTTGGAGAAAGGAGTTTATGTCAACATGATCAGACCTGACGGGCCAGCTGACCGAGCGGGCCTCCGACCCTACGACAGGATCCTGCAGGTAACATAAAGGGAATCCATTTGATATTATTAATATCCAGGCAACAGCTGTAGAACCCAATGCCCATGAATACAACGTTCCAAGAATATCACATAGCAGCTGGACCATGTTTATGGAGAGTGGCAGATTCTTAACAGGATAAGACACATGTAAGCTTTACCGCCTTCAGGCTCGTTAGTTGGGTCAACTGAGATGCCGCGTTTGAAGATCTCCTATTATACTATTTTGAGGCATATATTATAGGTCTCAGATATATAAAAATGTATCAAAAACATGTCTATGAAGTGTTTTCCTCAGAATACCAAACAGATCATGCATTTTAGCCATGCTTCATATCCCTCTATTTCAGCCCTATTACTAAAGTGCTGATTCTGGGTCAGTAGGTTTAAAAAAAAAAAGAAATTGAAAAGAAAAATAGAAAAGAGGAGGGGGAGCTTGTGCCTGCTCAGAATTCTACCGAGAGATACGCCATATCATGTTCCAAACCACATCAAGGATTATTTCTGAAACAGTATGGAGCTCAAACGCTTTTTCTCTTGCGGGTTTACCACAAGGTGAGTTCCTTTTTATATCTTGCTTTTTTACACATACTCTCCAGTGGCGGCTGGTGCATTTTTCTCCAAAATGTAAGCAAACTTATACACAAACTCAAAACATATGTCATATTACAACGCAGGGCTAGCTCAAAGGCACACAGCACTTGATACAGTCTATTATTTTAGTGCCTGTTTTTGTCATCCTCCTTATTATGCTTACAGATCCCTATCCTGTAGCCCTCATTGGACAGCCGTGTTTACTTTCCTAAACATGGCTAGTCGCATAGCATCATCCATGTGGACTCTAGTTTGTTCATGCTTTTTAGTTTTTTATTATTTGTGCTTTAAGTCACTCACATCTGTCTGGATCCATGCTGGGTCTGGTCCACAGACGGGTCTGATCCTGACGTTTGAAAAGGGAGGCAGGGGAAGCTAAATATAGCACTGGTGTTGCTACAGGTAGTTAGCCAAGCCTTCTTGCTAAACCAGCTCCTTGAAAAAGAGCACGTATACTGCCTTCCTCTGTCCTTAACTCCTGCCTATGTCAGGCTGATCAGGACTGAGCTCTTTTACTTTCAGCTTTCCCTCCAGTGTCCTCCTCTCAAAGGGTGTTTCTTTAAGTGATTTAACATCATTTTCCTTCTCCATATTCGCTATCTAGTTTTGTTTACACTCCGTTTCCGTCTAACTCTCTCTCATTCAAACGTCAATCACTCACTCTGGTGCTCCTGCTGCCCCCTAGTTGTTGGTGGTGTCAACAGCTGCTTTGGGCGCAGCTTGGTGCACCCCGAGCTGCTCCTATCTGTTGTATTGAAGAGCTGCTCCTATCTGTTGCATTGAAGAGGTGCGGACTGCGCATGCACCACTTATAACGAGAGTCAATGGGCAAAGATTTCTGCGCCCCAAGCAGGAAACATGTGACTTATCAGTAACTTTAGACATCGTAAAACAATTTATATCGATATTTTATCGTAGATTATGCATTTAACTGACACCAACTATATAATATGTATCTTGTTCATTAAAAAAAAAGTGTATACAATTAATAACATTTAAATATTTTGTAATGACAATCTAGATAGTGGGAAGAGGTGGGGCGGCGCCCCTAGTGCCCCTATGGGCCGGCCGCCACTGATACTCTCTCCAGTAGAGGTTAGCTCTGAGGGTTAGCGATGCTTGCTAATGTAAACAAAGACCATATTACGTCCAAAACACGCTGCGCATTGTTTCTGATACAGCAACGTTTCTGATAGGGCTGTGCGCGTAAAGCCAGCCCACATTTCTGATATTACGTCATATCAGACGCAAATCTGGATCAGCTCCGTTGTTCCCCCGTTTTTAGAGATTTGGGTACGGAGGAAAAGAGAGAGGGACACTTTGTGAGTTCCCTGACACACCGGGGACACATATTTATGTATAAAAGACATCAATAAGTGCATTTTGCATGATAGGATACCTTTAAGGCAAACAGATTACCATTGTCTTCAATTTAGACATGCTGCAGGCGTGGTCAAACGAGGGAGTGGGCACAAGATGGCGCGCCAGCTTTCACAAGCTACTATTTTCAAGGCATGACAAGGGCCTGACAGCTGCTCAGAACTAAAAGAAGTTCAACATTTGGAACGCAGCAGTAATACTCAGAGCTTAAAGATCTATACATAGACATACATACTGTATAGACCTATATTCATTTCATGTGCATCTCTGCTAAAATGTTTCATGATCATTAATATCTTCTGTTATTATTTCCGAAGTGTTAGTGGGCAGCACGCACACACACCTAAACAGGAGCGGGACAGAACTGAGACCGAAACAGGTGTCTCATTGGCAGGTTTCATTATATATAAATAAAAAAAGACTAGGAAGAACACATGTTGATAGGGGAAGATGGTCATGGTCGCTTATCGATGGCGGCGCAACCTTCCTCAGTGGCCGTGAAAACATCTGACCAAAAGTCGGCATCTACAGCCCAATCAAAGCTCCTCAAGTCTTTCAGATGTTAAAGACGCTGCATGTTTACGGTCCCTTCGTGAGTAAACTAACCTCTATCTCTTTATTTAAATTGCTAAAATCAAAAAGCCGCTCCAACAAGCAAGAAGTGAAGATAAATGCAGTAAAGGCCTGGCAGAATGTCACCAGTATAATTAACAAAAGCAGCCCTTTTCTGCCGCTCCCCGTCTTTGTCCAGGTGAACCACGTGAGGACCAGGGACTTTGACTGCTGCCTGGCGGTGCCCCTGATCACAGAGGCCGGGGACAGACTGGAGCTGGTCATCAGTCGTAACCCACTGGCCAATGACGACGACGACGCAGAGGACAATAACAACACGTTTGACCATCATCTAGACCTGTAACACACAAACACACACAGCAAAGACAGTCAGATAGATCTCTCCACATACTGTACATGCACATGCACATACTCTGCCACACCGGCAGGGGATGTACAATAACTGGTGATTAAGTTGCAACTGAAACTGGCCCAAACCCACACCACACTCCACCGGCTTGCAATAGTTCTACTGAAACACAGAGACTCCTTCAGGAACAAACACACACTGTGAATTGCATGCTCACACAACCACCCCTTCCCATTCACACCGGGTTGAACTGCTGTCATACCATATTATTCTCTATGGAAGCACTGGGATCTTGCAGAGAAACCACCAGGGACACTCTCATTAAGGCTGGCTGGGGTTCAGCGTTGTTCCAACATAAACAACCACTTCTCTGGCACTTTAACCAGCCATTAACTGATTTTGACTCTTTAAATATTATTTTTACTTTAAAAAATCATAAAAACCTGCAATTTGGATGAGGTAATTCTAGCAGTTTTTAATGCAAGGTTTATAAAAATATCTAGTGCTCAAACTGCCTAGCTCAGTTGGCAGATTCTATTTGTTTTTAGAAAAGCTATTACTACTCATGATTAAGATTGAACCAACAGTTTCTACAATGTAGCCGTTGTGAGAGTCCATATTGCTGCTAAGAATCTGCTCAATTTTAAGAGTTATTTTGTGGAAAGGTCAAGATGAGCTCTCAGCTGTCGCATGGAGTTTGAGTATATTAGATACCTCTGCACATAATAGGGTCACAGTGATATATATATTCATGTGTGCCATAGTTACAAGGTCAAGACACTGATGTCATCACAACTGCCAATTTCCTTTTTTTTATCCAATCATCTAAGGGAACAGAATAAAAGGGATGGATTTTTTTCTTGATTGCTTCAACATTTTCAACAATGGGGCAGCTGTGCTCATGGAAATGCGTGGGAAAATATTTTTCTCTCTGCACCATTTATTAGATTATTGACCTTTTTTTGTTTTTTTGCTAGAAGAGTTGCCAATCTACATTGCCAAATCTTTCATGACAGTTGTCTTGGAGCACTGGGTTGGTATCGCTACAAAGTCAAAGAGCAGTAGCTACCATGTATGCAATTTAGATAGCATTGCTCATGGTCAGGGGTCACAATAATCAGAGAAAAACACATGTATGTCATCAAAGGAGCTCTGTGGAGCACCTTTGATGAGAAATCTGGTACCTCTTTAATTTTAAGACATTGGTTTAATGCCATTAACAGCATGGAGAACAAGTCACAGCATCACTGTTGTTTACACTGTGAACCATAGGAGGGGGTTTCGGAGATAATAACAAAACAGAAATAAAGCTATGTTCCTTAACAACAAACAGAAAACATGATTTGAGTTGCAAGTAAACAAAATGGTAGAAAATGTAAAGGCCAATGGGAAAATATGTACTTAATTTATCTTTAAGAATACAGACAAACTATTGGGTCAATTTGTAATTTCCCCTTACATACATACAAATATGACCAGGCACTCACAGCCCAACATACAGTACATGTCTTAACAGCAGATAAGATGATTTTTTAAAGACTTCACATTTTCCCCTGCATGGTTTGATATAGTGTTTATGCTTTACACGCTGATGTCATTTGAATCCAGCACGTACTGCTGCTTACATATGAATGATTGTAAAAATTACAAGCATAACAAAGAGTATTTTCTGCTATTTGGTTTAAATGATTATTTATCAAGATTCTTAGATAGGTAGATGCTCCACTTGTGCTGCCTATGTAACAGATTAAGAGCTACAGTGTGAACAGCAAGCTAATTAAAAAATAAAAAAATAAATACCAAGTTGTGGCAACAATGCTTCACTTAGCACCTACATATGACATCTACAGTATAGATCAACCATGAACATTAACATGTTACTGCTGTTTGACTTTGTAGGAAGAACGGACCTTTTTGTGGCCCAACTATCATGATCGGAGTAAACTGCATCGTCTGCATTCAGGTTGAATTTATTATGATGCTGAAGAGTGTGGGTGCTGTTTAGATTTAGGTCACACACACTAACAAGCATATTGTCTTACTAAACAGTGCCCTTATGCACAGATAACACAAGGTAGTTTTGCTTGATTGTCTTATGTTTGTTCATGTTTCTGTGTGTTTGGCTGTGACGAATCCTGCATCTCTGTTTCAAATGTACATGTGTATGAGTTTGTCTGCACATTTCTTTCTTACTGGGTATATCTGAAAAGATGCAACTCAATTTGGGATGAACTTTAGATTGCATTTTGCACTGTGACCTGGTATTTGTCCCCCATATATTATAAGTGCGTTTGCAGATTGCAGCGAGTTTAAATAAAAAAAATGCAACTAATTTTTTTCAACAGAGTTTCAGAATAGTAGGAGCAACACCTTACTCAAGTATTGCCATTGTGTTAACTTAATGATGTCTTCATTGTCATTGAAAAAAAAGATTCCTGAAATGTTTCCATATACTACAATGATCCTTTAGGTTCTAATCATTCCCGCTACTTTTAAATATTTCAGATTTATTTCAGATGTATTTCTTATTTCAATCATGTTTGGCCCATCAGTTTGGCATGGCGTATGGGATCTACAATACCCATAAGATTTGGCTGCTCTGCAGATAAAGCAAGTAAGAGGTGCAAATTCAAAAAACGATTTAAATCAGTACTGTTGAAAACAAAACACGGTATCATACTTATTGAATCCCTCCAAAATGGAGAAAAATAAATAAAAAACATGCACTTCCTCAAGCTGTTATGATGATTCAAATGGATCAGAAGAGCTCCAACTGTCACTGTGCCTAATATAGCTCCAACGCTGCTAGTTTACTACAATACCAATATGCCGAACTGATACAAGCCTGAACCTTTTAAGACTTTTTCTTTAACCCTCTAATCTTTCCTCAACACTTATTTTTGTTCCGTTTGATAACAGCGGGGATTCTTTCCACCTTCATTCTCATTCCTGTCTTCATGTCTTCTCTTATTTCTGCAAAAACTCACTCCGCCCTTATTATCTGTGGATTACAGAAGTGAGACTGGCTGTCACCCTACTACTGCACATGGCAGAGTGTGTGTGTCAGAAGGAAAGAGTGTACGGTAATATTTGTATATATGTGTTCCTGTATGTAAGCACAATAGAGAGAACTAATGTTGTGAGTGCACAAAATGTTTGAGCGACAATAAACACAACACAAAGACACACAGGAATACTACAGTAATCAGAATGTGTGTTAAAGAGAGAAGAGACAGAGAATAGCCTTTGCCCTCTGAAGGATTGGATATTTTTCAACAGGAACAATCACAGCCTCTGTTCTCCCTCTCTTTTTTTTGCATGTCTCCCTCTATGTTACATAATACTGTTACAATCCAGCTGCCCCTCTTTGAGAACACCAGTGTGTGTTGTGAGAATGATGTGTATATGACTTTATTCAATCCAGTCTCACGGCATTCCGTGTTATAGTCACGAAATTAATTTAATCTATTGATTCGTGTTCACCAACACGATTTTCCCCTTTTTTTCGTGTCACACAGAACGATTTTAAATGCAATGTATTTCTATTGGTAGTATGTTTCGTGCCTGCAACACGTCTTTTTGTCCGGTCGGGTCTTGGAAGACCGGAAGCTGTGTGGTTCATAAAAACATTTTCTTACTCAATATCTTACCCTAAGCCTAACCCTATCCCTTTTATTTTAAATTGTATAATGTCGGAGTTTTGTTGCCGTCCAGGAGGAAAAGAAATGGCTCAGAGCCTCAGAATACTGAAATCTGTATTTTTTTATCGTATTTTTTGTCATATTTTTTTCCTTCTGATTTGTTATTATTTGGTGCAGGCACGAAACATACTACCAATAGAAATACATTGCTTCTAAAATCGTTCTGTGTCAGAATACTGAAATCTGTATTTTTTTTATCTGTTTTTCCTTCTAATTTGTTATTATTTACAATGCTTTTAAAATCGTTCTTTGACACGAAAAAAATGGCGAAATCGTGTTGGTGAACACGAATCAATAGATTAATTTTGTGACTATAACACGAAATGCCGTGAGACTGGGTTGCTTTATTGGTACGCTAACAACAGTTTCTGTTGCGGTTTATATGTGTGTACAATATACACGTGTGTTTACATGTACGTATCCAAGAATGTCAGTGTTTCTCTTTTCTTTTACGCATGTATGAATTTTTGAGCATGTTTGTGTGAATATGTGTGCGTGTGAATCTTTGAGTGTTTCAGAGAAAGAGAGCTAGGCGGTGTACATCTCATTGTACAGTGGTGAAACCTTTCAGGGCTGTGGGGCACTCTGAAACCCCCACGAGACTGAAAACAGTGTAAAGAGAGACAACTTTTTCATACATATTAGGAAAAAAAGGGTCTCCAAGCACTTACTACAAAAGAAGCACACTGTTAAATACCATGCACTGTAAGTAATCTCATTTACGAACATGTCTGAGTATTTTTACGAAATGTCAAGTGGCCAAAAAAATAAAGGTTTTGTAAAGCAACAAAAAAAATGAAAAAAGTGGTGAGAAAAGCCTTTCAAACTTTTTTGTTTGTTTTAATGTATGTATGTACGTATGTGTGGTCATCCATACTCCCTATGCATTTCTGGGTCAAAGGTCAGTTTAAGCCCAATCCGGAATCGTAATAAATGTGATGAGTGAAGTTAAGAAGAAATATACAACCTCATCACATTTGTATGATGTAAATCACACATGTATAGTTAAGTGGTTGAAATGACAACAAAACATGCTTGGACAATATAGGACTGATACTGCAAAACTTAAAAAATTACAAATGATTTAGTTACTAATGTATTTCATTTGGGTGGAGAATATGTTGCAATGAATGTCAGAAGATTTATGACAGTATAACATGTAACCTATCCTAGCCTGTTGTCATTACCCCTGATACCGTGAAAAGATGTCATTAAATGTCACAAGGTGTTATATAATCTAACATTTATCCCATCATCGTCTGCAGAATTTCAAATGCTTACTATTCCACGCTGACTCCTTAAGCACACATTCACACAAAATATGTTGGTTTTATTTTGACCTAACTGGGCTAACCCACTTTCTTACCAAGAGGATGCTAGCTCAAATCCCTTTGACCAGTACTGAAACCAGGCTGTGGAAGTGGAGTGAGTTGCCTTCCTCTTTTTCTTATTGACAGCTTTTGCAGCAAGTCATTACTTGTTGTTTCCTGTTTGAGATGGAGCACGTGTTGGGGTTTCTACTGCATGATTCGTAACT